ATGTGTCAGACTCTGGGGTAGACACTGAGTGGTCACAATGACAGCCCTGACCCCAGATCTCATAGTAACCTTTTCTGAGAAAATTCATCTATAGACTCTGAAGCAAATCCTATTCACAAGTGTGCCAACTGGCAGGAAGTCCACTAACAAGAAGGTCACCCTGAGCCAGCTCTACTTCTCCTGGAATGTCCCCCCACCCCACCCCAGATCATGCAAAAGAGAGCAGAATCACTAGGTCTTTACTGCCACCTGCTGGAGGAACAGAAGAAGGCCACAGGCCGCAGCCAGAAATTCAGATGCCTGCCTGGAGTTGCCAAACATATGGCCCCAACTTATATCTGCCACATTTGTTCAATAGCTAACGAGAAGCTGTCAGAGGAAATTGCTTCTGAAATCGAAATCACCTCACCAGGAAAAAAGGAAATCCAACAGCACCTGTAATGGTCAGAAGTGGAAGCAGGCCTCCTGGGGAAGTTAACGCAAAGGGAGGCCCAGACAACCCTGTGCGGCGGAGAGAAATATCACCTTCTGAGACCACGGCTGCGTTTTACCTCCCAGGACATCATCCAGCACAAATCCTGCTAGAGTTCTCCAAACCCTGGTGCCCTGGAACCCCACTGAACTGCCCTCCTGCCCACAAGCACCTGCAGAATCTCGCTCAGTCCCTCAGTCCCGCAACAGCTCGGTGGAAACTGCCGGAAGCAGGGAGGCCATTCTTTCCAAAGGCCTTGGCTTTGCAGCCAGACTCACTAAGTCAACAAAGCAGGAGCCAGCCCTGCCGCTTGCCTTCCTGTTACACCCTCCAACTTCTTCTCCCTGGCCTGCCACACTCACACACGTGTTCTCTCTCTCTCTCTCTCTCTCTCTCTCTCTCACTCACACACACACACACACACACACACACACACACACACACACACAGTCCTCCAACTCCAGCATCCTCGGTTATTTGGGTGGGAATCTGTTCTGGGAGAACTGGGAAGGAGAACTGGGAAGCAGAAGCCAGACGGGCTGCAGCCAGGGTTGGGTTTGTTTTTGTTTTCCCTCTTCTCCACATTCCAACCGCTCTGTGAGAAGTTGGGCCCCAGAAAGCAAACTCTGGGACGCCAAGGGCGGCAGTGCCAAGGCATTTCCTTCGCCAGTGAGTGTGCTTCCGGCGCTGGAAGACGGGCTCGGTGCCCGCGGCGCCGCGGGGCCTGGCTGAGTCCAGCCACTTGCTTCTGGACATGGAGACAGTGAGTGGTCTCTGCAGACCCTACACTCAACCCACCAGCCATGCTAGCGTCTGAGAGCGAAGTCTGAGGAAGCACTGCCCACCATACCTGCCTCAGGTCTCACGATGACCAAGCTACCCCCACCATAAACAGCACCAAGCTAATTGGGGGGGAAGGGGGGTAAAAAGGTTTGTTCCCCCACAATTTCCCAAAGGGAAGCAAGTCCTAACAGACAGAAACATGCTAGAGCCATCAAAAACACACAAAACTGCCCACATGAACTTGAATGGCAATTCTGCCACAGAACAAAAACTGCAAGTTTTTTGTCCAGATAGAAAAGCAAAAGAAAAAATCAGCACCCATGATGATACTTAAAACACACCATCTTTACCCAGCTGATCTGTCTCCCGGCCCCAGCAGGAACTGGTTCCCATCCTTGCTTGTTAACGGCGCATCTCTTTTATCTTGGAGGTTCAAGAAACAGAAGTGTGTTTCTCTCCGACCATCCTAGTTCCTGACCCCACGCTTCCATCCGGGCGGCCTTCGGGGTTCTCCTCACTTCCGCATGCAGAGCCAAGGCAGATGGGGTGGACACCAGGTCACCCAATGTCCATCTTCAGGGTCCACCCTGTCCCACAGCCCCTCTGGATCTGCCAGGCTCTCTGCAGGCTCAGGGCTTGGGCATCTTTTGCGAGATGGTCCTGATTGCCTAGAAGCTCCAACTTCTATCAGTCTGAGGACTCAACCCCCCAGGGACACACCAGGAAGCAGGGCTCACACTGGTTCTGCTCTTAGCATCCCCAGGTGTCTCCTTCTTCAAATCTTTCTTCTCCCACCGGGTTTTGTGTGTTTGTTTGTGGGGGGGTAGGGGGAGGATGGGGAGTTGGCCTGGGGAACTTTCTTTCCCTCCAAATGTCTTCAAGACACATAATCTGATGGCATAAAACTCATTGCTTCCTTATTTTAAAAAAATATTTTTTTTTAACAAAAGCTAGAAAGACTTCTTAACTGTTTTCGACCCTGTCGCTTGCCTCCACAAATGCAATGAGCAGAGGGCCACAGCCACACTGGATAAACACATTTTTAATCTTTTCCAGTCACCCAAGATTTTTGCTGTGGTCTGTTGTGACCTCCTGGTTCATAGGTCGATGCTCAACCACTGAGCCACGCCGGCTGGGCTACACACACTCTAGTTTGTAGAGAACAATTCACTTGGTCATTGAATAAAGGCTTTCAGATTAAAGCACGGTTGCAAAGCTCACTGCTTCCAGACATTTCTTCCTCTTCTATTCCTATACAATTTTCAAAAATAATAACTTAATAGAAAAGGAATCCTAAATAAATCCCAGTCAGATGTAACAGAGACTTCTTAAAGGTACTTCAAATACTTTATTCATCACCGGCCTGGGATGTTCAACCGAAAATACAAGGGTGTGCAAAAGTAGGCTTATAGTTCTTCGTACGGAAAATACAATAATTAATAATACAAGAATAAACTCTGTGTTTCGAGTACTCACCACTGTAAACCTACTTTTGCTCACCCCGTACAGCCAAGGCAAATAGTGCACCATTACTGCCGTAGATTTGTGCCGGTATTTACTGAACAGTGTCATGCTGGGCTCCATCCATGTCCTGAAACAGGGATGCTGAGGAATAGACGTGGCCCTACGTGCAGAGCTCTTGCCCTGAAGAGGGAGGCAGACGCTTAAACCGTGACAGCAGCAGAGTGGGGAGGCGAGTGGGAGCCTGTCAGAGAGCAGGGAAGACTAGGCAGAGGAGGCAGCTCTATGGCTGACTAACATCTTGCTTTTATTTTAAATACCTCCTTGCAAAATCTGTATTAAAATAACAAAAATAAAAAAGCAAATTGCCTCCACCTCCACCATTTAACCAAATTGTTTCATCTGTCCGTATTTGCAACATTATCAGAGTTCTACGATCTGTATTTTCATTTATCATGTCATTAATATTTTCCCATTTCACTGCCTTTTCTCCTTACTCCTACCTTACCCCCTTCAGATAACCAATGTTCACAGCCTGGGCAATTATTTTTCTATATATTTCTCTATGTTTGATTAATCCTACTGGGGACACTAGAACAATAGCGATATCAGAACATTTGACTAACCTCCCCCCTCTCCCACCTTTTCTTGTTCTCCTGACATACTCAATGTTCAGCCATAAAAGCCCTTGTTTTTATTATTTTATTATTTTTTAATCTTCACTCAAGGATATGTATCCACTTATTCTTAGAGATGGGTGAAGGCAGAGAAAGAGAAAGAAAGAGAGAGAGAGAGAGAGAGAGAGAAAACATTGATCAGTTTCCTCTCGCATATGCCCTGACAGATCAAACACGCAACCTAGGCATGTGCCTTGACCAGGAATCGAACCACTACCTTTTGGTGTACGGGACGACACTCCAACCAACTGAGCCACCCAGTCAGGGCTGCTTTTATTTTTAACTCTTAAGAGAAGAGTTTCCTAGGTCCTTGCTCCAGTAGACCCCACTTCCCTCCCACCTGCTTTGCTGAAAATAACCAGGACGAGAAACCACAAAGATTCATTTCTAAAAAGTAAGAGAGAGTTCTAGATCCACATCTGCTCCGTGGATCAGCAGCAGCTTGTGCACATTCTCTGCTGTTACTTATGCACGGGCGCTTTTCAGACTATTTTCTTCCCTCCCTCTTCTCCTCACCTTGTGACTCCTGCTTTTTTACTGTTTCAGCTTACACATGGGCCAAAGGAACCCGTCAATAACACAACCTTTCCATTCAGCAATTCTAGCATCAGTTTCTCAAGGTCACCTTGTCGCGCCAGACATCCTCCTATTCACACCCGTCTCGCCAGCTCGGCACTGGGAGAAGAGCAGAGTAGGGACAGGGTCTGCGATGGTCCCTTCAGCAAGGCCAGTGGGAGGAACGTTTCGTCTCCCTGGGACAGCCTTGGCCATGAGGCCCCTCAGTCAAAACCACTGCCTTTCCTCATAAGGTCCTGCTCTGTTCGCACTTTGTGGCGCCTCTGAAAAAAATAGGTGAAATGTTGAGTGTTCATTTGACTGCTGTGGAGTTGACTCAGACTTCAGATCTGAAACTTTTTCTTGATTCAGCTTCAGTAGGAAGGCAGGGAGGTGAGAAGCAATCCCTCAGCCTGCCAGAAAGGCAAAGGTGACGTAGTCCCATGCATCGCGGACCGGCCACGGCATGGCCCAGGCCTCGCCTCTGGGGCTCTCACACACACAGGGCCAACCCAGAGAACAGGCTTCCCGTCACCTGTGGGGTTAGGTCCCAGCTCCGCTGGTTCCTGCTTGTGTGATAATGACGAGGTCAACATTTTGAGTCTTATTTTCTTCATCTCTAAAAGGAAGTGAATTTTTTTTTTAAATAGTGACTTCGTTTAGTAATTGTAAGCAATGAACATGACATGGAAAACAATTTTAAAATCCTTTAGGCCAATTGAGGGTTATACAAGTGCTGGTTTAATTTGCCATTTAATTTTCCAGCCTACAGAAAGTCCTTGTTGACTAAGTAAATGGTCAATTTTCCATCAGCAGGAAAAGAAATCAGCCACAAAGTCACCAATGTTTCTTGGATTCCAATCCCTGGCCAATGTGCCAGATCTACAGAAGCAAACCTGAAAGAGTATTTTCTTTCACAGAGTAGTTTTAAGGCTCCAAGTACTCCCATCCTTAAATGTAAGTCAGGGGTTTTACATGAAGAAATAAGGCTTTTCTCAGAAGTATCTAATTAAATGGGGGGTTGCGAGGGGCGAAAAGTAGACAAAAGCACCTTGATTTTTTTTTCTACCTTTATTTATAAAGAACACAACTCCTCCTCCTAACGCAGAAACAAACACACATCAAAAGAGGTAACACACTCATGAAAAACAACAACAGAACGAGGGGGCAGTGGGACCTTATTTAACACCAGTCTGTGTGCCTGGCTCAGGAATCACTGGGAATGTCTCCTCAGATATGACATCTCACCTCAAAGAAAAGAAGAAAGACCTTAATCTTGAAGACCCATGTACCTGGCAGGCAAAAAGCTGCCTCAGTCTTCAGCATCATCGAACTGTCCAGTTTCAAAGACCATCTTGGAATAATGGGGTATCAGTGGAGGTGGATGATGCCAACTGGGGTCATAGATCATGTCTCCTTGCGGGGCACAGCACACCCAAGGTTTGACCTCTTGAGAAATGCAGCCCTGGATGTCATCAGCATCTGCAGGCAGTTTTAAAAGACAGATTAAAGCAGTGGTTCCCAACCGTTTTTGGCCATGCCCCACCTAAGCATCTCTTAAAATCCTGATGCCCCCCTCCCCAGGACATATAATTCTTATTATTCAAAAAGTGAACGCCTATTCACGTGGAGGAAGCCTAAAAGGCCATTAACTTGGTCTAAAAAGGCTTCCCAAGAACATGGCATCCATGAAAGAGAAAAATAAAAGAACAAAAGGACAGTTGAAGTCCTGAGGAAGAAATCACTAAGTTGTTAAAAAAAATAATAATAATATGAAGTGATATGAAAAAAAGCAAATATAGTTTCAAAAAACTGAAATGCATAAATGTCAAAATATATATTTCTATACTGTATAGGAGGCCCCCTATAACCATAAGAAATGCAAAAAAATTCACATTAGTAACTCATTCTCGAATTGCCCCCCCTTAAAAATCAAATTGCCCCCCTGTGGGGCATGTGCCCCACTTTGGGAACCACTGGATTAAAGGAAGAAGGGAAGGAAAAAACGAATAGCCAAAAAATGTCTAGGAGAACCATACTTGCACTCAGTTTAAACACACACACAGAGTCCTCCCTTCCTGAGGAATTGCAAGCATGTTCTTTCTGAGGCAACCCATGGTTGTGCTGTACAGCTAAGAGTTCTTGACAGTGCAGAGGAAGCAAATGGATAATAAGGCACTTCTGTCTGCAGCTGCTCAGTTCATACTAGGATATTTGGAGAGAGTAACATTGTTTCAATGTTAAAGGTAAATGACCATTATGGAATCAAATGTAAAATTTGCATGTTTTTTTTTTTTTTTCCCAATATGAAAAAGAAGCTGTCACAGAAACTGCAGATCTGTAACAGGTTATCAGGCTAAGCTCGCCAATGTGAGTCCCTCTTCCAAACTCTGCCTGCCTTTCAGGGTAATCTGGTAGGAGGGTCTCGAACCCTGGCCTAGGACCCCAGACACTCCACACCTACCATACGGATTCCCTTGATCCGCTTTCAACTCCAAGTCCCAGTCCTCATTAAAAAGATCAGCAGCCTGTTCCCTAGGCAGACGGCTGGACACCCCTTCTGGCAGCTCCCAGGTATTCAGTTCCCCATCAGAATCTTCATCCTCCATAGCAAAGCCTTCCTCTTCAGAATGGGTGCCCTCATCACCAGCAGGACCACCATTAGGGATGCTCTGTGCTCCACTGGCTAAGAAATCAACAAAAGGAAGGTCTTAAAACAACCGGCAAACCAGAGCGCCTACTCGTGTGCTTGGAAATTTTTGGCAGACTTACTAAGAAGGCAGCAGTAAAACAAGTGTACAGAGTTCTTTAGCCACCTGAGCACTTAAAAAAAAAAAAGAAAGAAAATGTTCTACTGACATTTTTAGAAGTAGGGCTGATCAATTATTTACAATAGGATGTTTTGCCTTAAACCAGGCCATTAATTGCCTGGTCTGGCAATTCACACAGGGAATCGGGCACAATTTACATTGTAGGTAACTTACATGTCATTAAAACAAATGATCAACTTTCACAATACAGGTGCGAATTGAGTTTTTGCTCTTCTATTCCTCTTCCCTTCATCCTCAAAGAGCATGTGAGAGGTGAGCACAGGACAAGGGGGATGAGAATAAAGGCTGACAGCAGGGCAGAACCCATCTAGTCACAATGGACCGCCACCACGTCTCCTCCCCCCAACATTGAGAGGGCTGGAAGGTACATTTTCAAAAGGTCTCAACATAATGGAGGGACGTTTGGGAAGGATAATGAACCTCCAAGCATATAAGGCTATGGTGATGCCAGGTCAGAGCTAGCAAATGAATCAGCCGATTAACACTGCACAATAATGACAGCTATAAGCAATAAAGTCATACTTCAGGTTATGGGCTCTGAAGGTAAACTGCCTGAGTCCAAATCCCAGTTCTGCCAATTACTAAATGTGTTACTGAGCTGAAATGTACTCAACTGATTCCTACAATAGCTTAAATATAGAATTAACATACAACCCACTCCTAAATGTATACCCAAAAGAATTAAAAACAGGTGTTCAAACAAAACTTGTACAAAAATGTTCACAGCAGGACTACTCACAATCACCAAGAGGTGGAAACCACCCAAATGCCTATCAACTGATGAATGGGTAAGCAAAATTAGGTTTAAACGAATGAGGGGATTTATTCAGCCATCAAAAGGAATGAAGTATAGGCATACTTCATTTTATGGCATTTTGCTTTATTGCACTTCACAGATGTGGTGTGTTTTTTAATAAATTGAAGGCAAAACCCTCTATCAGCACAAAGATTACAACTAGCTTTATTGCAATAGTAGCTTTATTGCCATGGTCTGAAACTAAACCCATAACGTCTCCGAGGTATGCCTGTACAAGGTATACAGGCTACGTGAATTAATCTTGAAAATATTATGCTGAAAGAAGCCAGATAGAAAAGGCCACAGAGCGGATGATTCATTTGCATGCAACTCACATTTGCCTGTTGAGCAGAGGTCAATCCATAGAGACAGAAAGCAGATTAGTGGTCGCCAAGGGCACAAGGAAGGGGAGGCTGGGGAGTGACTCCTTACTGGGTACAACATTTCCTTTTGGGGTGATGAAAATGTTCTGGAACTAAATAGCGGTGGTGGTTACATAACACTGTGACGGTGCCGAATGCCACTGAGCTGCATGCTTCAAATTTGTTAAATAGTAAATTTTATGTTGTGTCTTTTACCAGAAACAATTTTTTTTTATTTTTACTCTGTGCCTCAGTTTCCTCACCTGCAAAATGGAGATATGATTGCTGTGAGAGTTTTTAAAAACAAAAAAAGGAGCTCAGCCTGCATGGCTCAGTGGTTGAGCGTTGACCTACGAACCAGGAGGTCAAGGTTCGATTCCTGGTCAGAGGACGTACCCGGATTGCGGGCTTGATCCCAAATGGGGGGGGCGCGCAGGAGGCAGCCATCCATGATTCTCCCTCATCATTGATGTTTCTATCTTTCTCCCTCTCCCTTCATCTCTGAAATCAGTAAAAATATATTGAAAGTGGAAACAATTTTACCTCCAAAGCCCATATTCTCCCTGCTTCCCTAAACTGTCTTTCTCAGTAGAAGGGACGGGTTTGGACACAAGTTCAGGACTTCCCTTAAGAAAGCTCCAGTGGGGCTTCCAAACGGGGCGCTATGGAAACACCCGCAGAAAACAGGCGACATGGCAGCCAAGAGGAGGACCGGCTGGAAGGAGAAGGTACACAAGACAGAGCGACTGTCCTGTCGCTCCCCCAGTCTCTCCCAACATTCACCCCAGTCTCTGCCGTCTACTTGCCTAGTCGATCCGTGGCTTTCTCAGTCTCTCTCTCCTGACCTGAGTGGTCATGCGGGGCAAAGCCAGCCTGCCGGAAGAAGAAACAGTTACTCAGGACTTGGACACCTGGGGCATCCCGTTTTCAGCTTTCTCTCAGCTGAAAACCCCCCCATCCCTCCTCCCCTTTGTGTGGGGGGCTGAGACTCTGCAACCCACACTTCTGCTCTGCCTGGTTAGACTCAGCAAGGATGGAGGGGGAAGAGCTTTGCTCCTCCTTACTCCCGAGGCATCATTCCATCGACACTTCACCCTGGAAGCAGGAGCAACCTTCCTATAGCAGCCTAGGAACCCAGCTTACAGCTTGCCAACACTCGCAAAGCCAGCCTCATCACCCTGCCCTACCTACAGAGGTCTGACTCCCAGGCCCTCAGGACTCTCCAAGCTCAGAGACACCCGCCCTAACTGGGGCCACGCCCCCTCCTCTGAGGCTGGAATTCCAGCTCTGCAAAGCCTCACCTCTGAGCTTGTAAATTTTAACCATTCCAACCTGATCCCTTTGTTCCCTCAGCCAGAGGGCTGGTAGCTGTGTCCTGCAGCTGCCACCACCATGTTCATTTTTAACTTTTCGGTTACTTAACAACTTCTTATCTAGTTAACTCTACATATGTTGATTTCAGAGAGAGAGGGAGAGATAGATAGAAACATCAATGATGAGAGAGAATCATTGATCAGCTGCCTCATAGACACCCCCTACTGGGGACTGAGCCCGCAACCCAGGCAAGTGCCCTGACCGGGAATTGAAACGTGACCTCCTGGTTCATAGGTCAACACTCAACTACTGAGTCACACAGGCCGGGCAGCTAACAACTTTTTCTATCAAATTCTGTCTCCTGACTGATACACGGGTGCAAGAGAGATTTTGCTCCTCAGCAATGCTGAGGGAAATCTCTCCCCACAGCCAACCACATGCCTCTCTGCTCTCAACACTCAAAAGTTTCTGAAGTCTTGCCCTGGCCAGATGGCTGTTGATTGGAGCATCGTTGCATACATCAAAAGGCTGAGGGTTGGCCCGGCTGGTGTGGCTCAGTGGTTGGGCTTCAACTTATAAACCAGGAGGTCACAGTTCGATTCCTGGCCAGGGCACATGCCCGGTGTGCAGGCTTGATCCCCAGTAGAGGGTGCACAGTAGGAAGGAGATCATGATTCTCTCTCATCACTGAAGTTACTATCCCTCTCGCCCTCTCCCTTCCTCTCTCTGAAATCAATAAAAAAACATTTTAAACAAGGTTGTAGGTTTGATTCCCAGCAGGGCACATACCTAGGTTGTAGGTTCAGTCCCAGTTTGGGGCGTACCAGAGGCAATGGATCGATGTTTCTCTCTCACATCAACATTTCTTCTTTCTCCCCCCCTCCCCCACCTTCCTCTCTCTCTAAAATCAATAAAAACATATCCTCGGCTGAGGATTTTTAAAAAGTTCCTAAAGTCCTACCACCTCTAAAACCTCTTTCTCACTGGAACAAGAAACGTGAAGCCTGCTGAAGACCTCATTTCAATCCCAGTTCTGCCATTCGTTCAGTGTGAACACTCTGCCTGGGTTTCCTTCTCTGGAAACTGAGGGTGATGGTCTGACCCTGCCGGGGACTTATAATGACCTAACATTTATGAAAATACCTCGCATGTAGCAGGAATGTAACATCTGTTGACTCTAAGCCCAACCTTCTTTGCCCCTACATCTACACTGCCCTTGGCACCTGCCCCAGGTAGCTCACGATCTAGTCACACCTGGATTTAAAGCATCAATTCCACCTCCTGTGGTCAGTGACAACCCTTGGTCACCAGTGTGGGCCAGCTGGTGGGACCTCTCACTTTGACCACCGCCATGACTCCATAGCTGCCTCCCCATTCATCCACCCTGCCCACCGTATGCTATTAATCACTCCTCTCCTCAAAAATCTTCAACTCGCCCTAGCCAGTTTGGCTCACTGAATAGAGCATCGGCCTTCGGACTGAAGGGTCCTGGTCTCGATTCCAGTCAAGGGCACGCTCCTCAGTTGCAGGCTCCTCCCTTGTCTGGACCCTGGTCAGGGCTTATGCAGGAGGCAACCAATCGATGTGTCTCTCTCACATCGATATTTCTGTCCTTCCCTCTCTCTTCCACTCTCTAAAAATCAATGGAAATAATCAATGGGTGAGAATTTAAAAAACAATCTTCAACTCCATCGGGGAAGCATAACATTACCCATGGCATTCACAACTCCCCCTCAGCCCCTCAACCTGTTGAGCACAGTTCCCTCCCAGCTCTTCGACCCAGGCTCACAGGGATCTGCCCTGCATTTCCGCACGTCCACACCTCTGCAGGCAGCGCCGCCCCTCACCTTGCAGAGGAAGCGCACAGCCCTTGCTGCTATGCCCTGACAAATTAATCTCATCCCACCTGCACTCCAAAGTAATTTTCTTTGTAAGTCTTATCACTACATTTTTCTTACTTTGGTTACATACTATCTTTCATGCTTAAACACGCCATGCCGTTCCTCCAACCAATTAATAAATGTGTCTATGGTGTCGGGCACCATGCTAGACGCCAGGCTTAACAGCAGTTCACAGGAGGTTTCTATCCTCCAGGAGGTCGCCATCTCGCAGAGGTTACTGACTGCAAACAAGGGCAGGTTGTGGCTGTAATAACGGCCTTGGATAAACCAGGAGCTGTCGGGCGCGCCAATGGAAACAAGTTTCTGGAAACCCTGCGTCAAAACAAGCCTTTGCTTTTCGTTGAATAGGAGAGGAGAGAGCGCATGAGACATCACCTGGTGCTCTGTCAGCGGAGCATCCCCACCAGTGGACGCAGGTCCTTCGGGAAAAGTCTCTTCCCCTCGCCACCCTCACCTGGCCCCGTGCAGGCCCCGCACCCTCACCTGGCCCGTGCAGGCCCTCCTCGGCCGCCCCCAGCTCTCGGCCATCAGCATCACCTCCCAGGTAGCGA